TCCCCCCCCCCCCTTCTACACTCTGCCCTGTTTCACGTTTGAAGTCGAGGATCCGCGCATCATACTTCCGAGAAGCTTGTATGTATTTTCGGATTGCTCCTAGTACCGTCTTAGTCTTTTTCTATTTTTTACTCTTTACGTACATATACATATATGTCTTACTGTCGTCGTTTACACCCCTCCGGTCCTGACCTGGTCGCCTCTTACGTCCCACATGAAAATACCTCGACGACGTCTAGTCTGGTCCGTACGTTCAACACTTATCACCATCGGTCCTCGGATCTCGATTCCCTCGATGTTCCTTATCAGCGACTTTTAATGATACCGATAAGTATTTAATGCACGTAGCACAAGCGCCGGGTACGTCCCCTTTTCAACGAATTTACACACGAGCATGGAATTGGAGTGTAACGACGCCCAGTGACCTCGGTGGAAGTTGATATTGTTCGTACGTGGGTGCGTGGTACTTGTACGCGTGGAGTACCTCACGTTGCGTCGACGACCCAGCCCGACGTCGATCCTCGCCGGGAAGGCGCACCGAGGAGCGACTCGCGTGCGTCACGAGTTATTTCGGTGGTTCACGGTGTCAGAAGCCGCCGAGCATCCAAAGAAGCATCCAGCAAGGAATCCGACTGGTCTCTTACTTTGTATCTATTTATCTGCGCTGGGCTGCTGTTACGTACGCTCGGCTCGCAATGCCCGTGTCTTGGCTCCGTTCACTCATTCGAATTTACCCGCGCTTCGTCGGGGCATCGCGCCGGTAATATTCGATAATCACTTTTGCACGATCGTTCGCTCGCGGATCGATGCATAAATAAATATATGTATATATATGTATATACAACGAAGACGTCGCGTACCCACGTGTCTGCACAGTCATACGCGGCTACGTCGTTTCGTTGACGCTAATGAAATTATGCAAATGTCCGATACTACGTGTATCAAGGATGAAACTATTATCTGAATATGGAGCATTTTAACGCGCCGCCTCCCTTATTCTCGTTCATCCCCCCCCCCCCCCTCCGTT